ACATTCAACTACCCAAATCTTCCACAACCCCTTAATTAAGGAGTATACCCTAACATATACTACAGATCATAACTATGAGTTCGGGCTATATTCCTTAATTAAGGAGTTTTGGAAGATCTGGGTATTCAAAGCTCCATACGTGGGCACGCTTCGACTCTCGCATTCACGCGTTCAACAACACAGCAGGGCTTAGGGACTCCAATATCCCTTACTTAAGGAATATACCTTAAACTATAATGGGGTCCCTAATATGATTTAAGGCTCCTTAACTAAGGGATATTGGAGTCTTTGGGGGCTTATAGGGCTTGGGGACCTGGCGGGTGCAACATTCCTGCGTTCAAGAGATGCTTGTTCCGGATTTTCGAGATCACATATTGCAGCTCCCAATGAAGTACTTCGCCCAGACGCCCCCTGTAGCCTTAACGCGAGGCTGAACAACATCCATCTTCAACCACATACATTGCAAGACAGCGTCAGAGGCGACAAAGTTGCCCGAAAACCCGGCGATGCGCAAAGGGCCTGGCTGCCGACACAAACGCGCTACACCACAACACATGCAGCATTGTGACATGGCAGGAGGATGAAGCAGAAACTGCGAACTGCAACCTGCAGGGTTTCCTCCTACAATTCTGGGGGCCAAATGAACCCTACAATTGGGGTCATATACCCTAATTCCTGCTAGGGTATGTGAACCAGATAACCCCGTTTAGGCTTCCTTGGGTCCCCAAGTACTGGGCCCACGGCAGCCAAGCGGCCGATCCGGACCACCCCGGCAGAGCCCAGATAGTAAATGCGATTCGCCACCCAACCACCAAAGTAGTGCTCGCCTCTGAAGCACGCGTGGAGGTTTTTATGGACAGTTATAAGAAGGGTCAAAGGTATGGATACTGTACAGTACTGTTCCTAGACTTATAAACGTGCTTGTAACACTACTTAGAACTAACCATGAACCTCCACGTGGTGTTTCAAGTACTCCTCCAGACTTCCCCTCTAGCGCGCTTGTTGTAAACCCTGCAAATTTCGTTCGCTGAAGAAGTGCATCTCCATGAGCTACACACTTATTACAGAATGTTGTCTTGCGCGTTTCCGGGGAGAATGAACAGGATCCATGTAACGTGCCCCCCCCCCCCCCCGTGATTGTGTTAAGGTTTTTGGGTGGGGGTTACACGATTTCACATTATTACACCAACACATCAGCCGAGGCACGAAGGAGGTTCGCAGCCTCATTTTTGCCTGCCAAGAGCTTGGGTGGTTGGAGAAATGCTGCAAATGAGATCATAGGTCAGCACAAGTCCTCTGATTCATAGAGGTTGCAGCACCCGTGATGTAGCTGCACAGCCCAGCCCTTAGCACTGAGCAAAAACTGTTTTCCGAACTTGTTGGAAAACAAGCTCCCCAGAATCCTTCCAAAATGATTACCCCAGTGCAGCAACAACCGTAACTGCCGACCACCAACACAGCACAGAAGGCGAGATGGTGACAGCGGTATAGAGCAGCTGAGCCTAGTGACGCTCCTGGCACAAAAAACTATCGGAGTGAGCATGGCGCTTGTGCAACCCTCCCTTGCCTCCGATGAAGATAGTCGTGACAGGCGCCTCACCGGTGTCCATGAGTATTGGGACAGAAGCCCTCTTAACTACTTCGCATCTGCGAGCAGCTCTTGATAGAGGCCAAGGGCCCAGACAGCATTTTAGACAGCATTTTTTTACGCGTGGCTGCAGATCCCAGGGCTCCAAAGTTTGGCGGCACGTGAGCACGCTCAGATGCTAGCAGTGCAAAATGTGTGCAGTGATAGGACCGCCTGGGCACGACCTGTGTAGTACTTGCCGAAGTCTTTCATGTCCTGTCACTGTGCGGAGTCTCTTCTTTTGACTTGCGCTTTCGCCAGGTACGGCTTCACAACATTTGCTTCGCACACAAGGTTTGATGACATAGATGCTTGGCGATTTTCTCTTTGACCCTTTGAACCGACATACTTACACATGTCGCAAATTTGGGCTCACACTTACATACTGAATCTCCGAGTGAGCCGGCACCGACTCACAGGCAGCTGCACATGACAAGCAGCCGGCAAGCTGAAACTGAAAATTCATGCAAAGCCTCGCAAATGTCCAACTCACACCCGGAATTATGCACACCTGAGGACCTGGAATCAACGTAATTCGACAGCTTCTTGCAGCCGGTCTGCCCGATATTGCTGCGGAATGCTTACGTGGTCCAAGTCCTGCCTGAGCGCATAATATGGGCTCACCAATCATTGATTCTGCTATGCGGAGATGCCCCGTCATGAAGAAAATTGTGAGGTCTGATACAGTAACCTTCTAGCAGGTGAGCAGCTTCATCCAGGTATGGGGACTGCTGGTAGTTGGTCCGCATTCCGCCCCTGGGTGTTTCAGGCACCTTTCAGGATTTTGCGCTCCTTTGAGGGGGGTAATGTTCACATCGCACCAATAAGTCGGGTGTTAATACCGGAAAGGTGTTTGGCAGGGATTTTGGCCCAACAAGTTGGATTCATGAACGATTTCCATTATATTAGGTTGATGAGAGCCTGATATCAATTTTTTGGGGGTGGTAACAACCCAAAAGGGGTGTTAATACTGGAAAGTATTCCGGGAGAATTTCCCGAATATGGTTTTGCGAGAACTCCTCTTTGCAAGCTCTTTTCAAGCGAGGCAGACACTACGGCTGAGAGGCCCAGAAAAAGGTCAGAAAAGCCCGGAAGAGGCCCAGAAGAGGCGAGAAGAGGCCCAAGGCCCCCCAGGTTGGCTTCCCCAAACTTTTGTTCTGAGCTAGCACCGGAACAAATCCGGGGGGGTGGGGGGGGGGGGGAGGGGGGAGGGAGTTGGGTCATTGTGGTCTCCGCCCACCCTAAACGACATTCGTGGCAAGCACCTATCAGGATGGGCCACAAGGCCTTCTAATCCCTATAATAAACCCTATGAAGGCCCTGTTTTTATGGGGTGATAGGGTATAATGGCCCATCCTGAATGTCACATTCGCCAAGTGGCTCATCACGAATGGACATGAAGTCTCCGCAGCAGATGAGCAAGTCGAGGCTGATGCTCTGCCTTTCCAGCTTCCTGCAGAGCCATCATCTCACGCAGGGCCCGAGGTTTAGGGTTTAGGGTTTGGGGTTTGGGGTTTGGGGGTTATATAAGCTGGGCTAGGGGCTCCTGGGATTCTATGGAGCATCTTATTCACGTCTGATGTTGCACGCACATGTTATGGCCTTTGGTGCTTGCCCCGTGGCCCCGTCGGTTGTTGGCCTTGATGATGTTCGTGTTTTGCCAGCAGAGCGGCTTCCCGTCCCACGGAAACGCCATGATTTACGCAACAACACAAAAGTAGCACCGGTGTTTGCGACCTTCAATAAAAAGAAGGGTTGAGCGCTGGAGTCATCAATGCAGCCGCTCTTGGAGTGTTTATCTTGGATGCCGCAGACTGAACACCTCAAGCAGTCTGCGAAAATGTGCGAAGCTTAAAGTGTGATCCTGAAAGCACAAGTAGCCCTCCGTGTACGGGTATTCCCCAAAATAGGGGGTACCCCGTTTATGACCCAAAATAAAAACGAATCCCCCTCAAAGGGAGCCCCAAAAAAGGGTACCCCTACGTTCGGAGAAAACTCCCATATGCATCCAAAAGCTTTTGCAAACCAACTCCAAGAGCTCCTAGATTTTCCATCAGACGCGCCGAGGCCTCACCGTCTCGTAGAGTCGATCTAGTTCTCCGTGGCAGCAGCCGGCGACCTGGGAACGCTTTAGGGTTTAGGCCTCGCCACTCACACTCGCACAAGGCTGGAAAGGCCTCAATGTCCAATACGACCAGGGTTGGGGTTTAGGGCTTCGGGGAAGGTCAGGCGCTTGCTGTGTCGGGGGCAGCGTGGTTCTATAGTGCCTGATCAATCAGGTTGCCTCTGGTGACTGCTTGCAACCTCAAAAAAACCACAACGAAAAAGCCATCCCCACCCAAACTGACATGACAAACCAAGTAAATAATCGACCCTCCAAACCTCAATGACCAAGATACGCCGATCCTCATGGCCGAGAGCCTGCCGTGCTCCTTCGGCTGAGCTGATACGTCCGTGCTGCCACACGGCCACGACACCGCACCACTCAAAATTGGTGCGCTTCTTTGGCACGTCCTACCTGGTAAAATCCAGGTGCACGCGCAGCAAAGGTGTGCCATGGCACGTCAAATCTTTCCAGTTCTGGGGGGCGTTCCCTAAACCCAAAACCCTATAATTTAACCCTTAACCCTATAAACCCTAAACCGGGCATCCGATGGTTCATATGAATCTGCATGTCGTGATGAGCACTGGGAGGTGGGTCGGGCGGAGGTGCGGGTTGTCATTGTGCTTTTCAGGTGAAATCGCTGGAGTCACTTGAGTCACTTGTCTGGCTTGTGGCAGGGCTTGCCATGGGCCTACTAGCATATGCTTGAGCCAAACACGGCTCTTTGATAATCCCTCCTTTGATCTAACTTTTGTTCCACCCTCCTCCCCCCCCCCCCCGCCCCCCCAATGTTACCAGCTGATGGTTAAAGAAAAACGAGGGAGAAGGTTTCCACCAATCTCCAAATCTGCATGGCTTACGTGCAGGCCCATGCCATCATGCTGGTCCGGTCCCCACGGCTCACGGGGTCCATAGGGTCCTGCAAGACGACCCCTCCATGTCCCGAGACATCTCTGCTGCGGTCGCCACAGCAAGGTCAAGCTTTCTGGATGTGACTTTGCGGGCTTTTCCATTTGGAGTCGGTTTCTCGCGCTAAGACTTAAAACTCCCGCCCTTGCAACTTGGCTGGCTTGCTTACCGAAAGTCAGCCCATCAGCCCAAAAAGCCCACTATCCCCTAATTCAGGAATTTGCCTTAATTTAAATCACATTACTAAGGATCCCGGATCCCTACATATTTTAATTAAGCAATATATGTATCCTAATTTAAGGAATCTTCCTTCATTAAGGGGTATCAAGGGCTGTCTGGGCCATTCCGCAGGCCAGGACG